TGTACAATCCCAGTCCATGTGATCCCAGTCTGTACAATCCCAGTCCATGTGATCCCAGTCTGTACAATCCCAGACCATGTGATCCCAGTCTGTACAATCCCAGTCCATGTGATCCCAGTCTGTACAATCCCAGGCTGGATGGCCCTGATCCATCTGGTCCCAGTCTGTGCAGTCCCAGTCTGGAGGATCCCAGTCCATGTCATCCCAGCCCCATGATCCCAGTCTGGATGCTCCTGCATGGCTCACACTGCCAGGGTCTGGAATTCCAGTTCCCAGCCACGAAAAGATGTTCCTGCCCTTGAAGGCAAAGCTCTTCAGAAGGGGCCAAAAGCCAAGTGCAGCAAGATCTTAAAGGGACATTTCACTGCCAGCCTTCCTAACTTCACCCATGGCTGTTGGAGCTCCTGCACTGGGAATTAAATCAGGGAGGGGTCTTTGGTGGGAGCTGCCCTGGGTCAAGGGAGACCCTGAGACAGAAACCGAGCAGGCAGAGAGAGGCAGGAGAGAAAGGAGGACACAAACACAATCAGGTGAGAAGGTGTCACTGAAAACAGAACAGGAACTGACTGAAAGTGAATGGGGCAGAAATCAGGAATTCTAAAACCTGTTTTCTATGAAGTACATCCCTTGACAGCCAGCCCCACACAATCCCAATCCCGCCGCTTCAAAATTGGATCCCACTTCTCACAATCTCCTTCCAACCCCTTCTCACCCTGGCAGCTGTGGAATTCAGTAAGGTTCGTGTGGGATTGAGTTGTTCTGAAAAGGTAATAAGGTACTTGCAGGTGAGATTGTGCACTTTTGTGTTAAAATGGGGGTGTTTTCAGTGGGATTTGAGTTATTTAGAGCTCACAGATCGATCCCTCTTGACTTTTGGAGGACAAAGCGATGGAGAAGAGAAAAAAATGAAGGCCAAAACAAAAGGATAACCAGCCAGGTGTCTTCCCAACATGGAACCCCTGTGGGTCACCAGGGCTCTGCCCAACATGGCTCCTCCAGTGAGGGAAGGAGTTGGAGCAGCACACGAAGCTCTTCCTGCACTCGGGATACTCACAGGGCTTCCCATACCGGTGCCTCTGTTGGTGTTTGGTCAAGGCTGAGCTCAAGATGAAACTCTTCCCACACTCCCCACACTTGTAGGGCCTCTCCCCAGTTTGGATGCGCCAGTGGGTGACAAGGTTGGAGTTTTTTGTGAAGCCCTTCCCATAGTCAAAGCACTGGAAAGGCCTCTCCTCCATGTGTGTCTGGTACTCCTGGAGGAGATCAGAACTGGAGTGAAACCTCTTCTCACACACAGAACAGTCGTAGGGCCTTTCCCCAGTGTGGATACTTTGGTGGTGGACTTGGTCGTATCGCTGCCTGAAGCCCTTCCCACAATGTCCACACTTTCATGGCCCTTTCCCAGTATGGATTTTCTGGTGGTGGATCAACTGAGCACACAATGAAGCTCTTCCCACACTCCTCACACTCGTGGGGCCTCTCCCCAGTGTGGATGCACCGGTGGTTGATGAGGGTGCCGTTTTGCCTGAAGCCCTTCCCACAGTCGGAGCACTGGAAAGGCCTCTCCTCCCTGTGTGTCTGGTAGTGCTGGTGGAGAGTGGAGCTGGTGGTAAACCTCTTCCCACACTTGGAACACTCATAGGGCCTCTCCCCAGTGTGGACACTTTGGTGGCAGATCAGGCTGGAACACTGCCTGAAGCCCTTCCCACACTCCCCACACTTGTAGGGCCTTTGCCCAGTGTGGGTTCTCTGGAGGCAGATCAGGGTGCATCTCCAGCTGAAGCTCTTCCCACACCGGTTATGCTGAGCCCGAGAATCTTTGAAATTGGACCATTTGGAATTAGGAAAACTGGCCAACAACTAATGTTGTTTAATCCGTCATGGTGTCTTAAACAAGTTAAATTGTTAATGCAATGCAATGTCCCAGAAATTCAGCCAGCTTGTTTCCCTTTCCTGCAGACTTCTTTTGAGGGGTGGACAAGCTGGTTGTGAAAGCGTAATTCTTCTTAAAAACGAATGACAAGAGACACAACTGGTATTGTGGGAACAGGATTGGGAATTTTGAACAGCATCGATTCAGAAGTATTAATGTATAAATTGGCTACCACAGCTGGAGATGTAACCAAATTACAGCAGCCCCTGCAATCAACCTTGACAGCTTTGGGAACCCAACAGTGGTTGTTATCAAACGCATTACCAAATTGGGAAGAGGTGAATGTAAATGATCACAAATTAATAATTGATGCACTTGGTGCTATGCAAAATAACATTTCTCTGGCTCTCAGCTATATCCAGGCTCAGTTGTGGATGCAATCAGTTGCTGCTTCAATTACAAGAGAAGGCGAGGAAGGCACTTTTCCTACTGAAATCTGGAAAATAATTTTTGATAGCTTCATGGATTTTGAAAGAGAATTCCAATCCTGGTGGAACTTGGTCAATTTTACCTATGACCCCAGCACAAACACAGGCACAGCCTTTGTACTGACAATTCGTAATGCTTCAGTGCATTCAATATTCCCCATCATTGCATTAGGATTGAATCGTGACGGAGCTGTTCTCTAACTTGCATTGTCCGCGAACAACAAGGGTTTATCTGCGAAAGTGATGCAATCAGAGCTCAAGATATCTGCTTGGACACAGAACAGAATGTTTGTAACTTTGAAATTCATCCAAACGAGATTCCTGAAATTGTACTGGTGTATCTGGTCAATGGATGTGCATGCTTTAGAACTGCTTGTGATAGTGTTTTTATAGAAAATCTAGTAGTGAATACTAAAAATCATTCAAACTTTTGTGTCTGTAACTTCACTAGGATTGCAGGATGTGATTTTTCTTATATAGCCCCAGTTACTTCTTATCAACTTTTACAATCCAATTACACACTGATTCACCGTCTGATGCCTGCTCCCATTGGGATGAACCTCACTCTGGTAAAGCAATTGTTACTTCACCAGGATTTAATTGGAATTTTGGAAAGGATCAAGAAAAACGGGCAAAAAACCTTAATAAGCGTTCATCACGATGTGAAAGAGATACATCGTGTTTTGAAAAGAGTAAAGAAAGATGCCAAACACAGGTGGTGGGATGCTCTATTTGGGTGGTCACCTACTGCTACAGGTGTCCTGAACAAATTGTATCATCTCATCATTGTTCTCTTGATTTTAGTTTTGATTGGTTTTGTTTTATCAGCAATCCTATACATTATGAATTGGAAAATGATGAAATGGTTAACAAGATTGGCATCTGTAATGGATGTACCCAAATCCGTCGCTGTTGACATTCCTGAGGTTATTAACACAAGACGATCTACATGAGTAATCTAAATAGGATAAACCATGATCTTTGATTAAAATTGCCTTTTTTTTTTCAATTGTATGGTATTTTGAATTAATGTTTAATCAAAAATTTATTTTCTTTGTAATCAAAAATATTTATTTGTAATCAAAAATTGAAAAATCAAAGAATTGAAAAAA